TCCTCCACGAGTCCTCAGGTGATGGTGGCGCCGAGAAGTGCGAATTTGGCATCAGTATTTCCCCCCCCAAAACACTTCCTTATTTTCGAGAGCTGTAGCCGAGCGTGTCAGCGTCGAAGAGGAGAGTAACAATATACACACACTTTTGTTTTATATTTTTTCTTCGAGAACGAGAGAGATATGGAGCTGCGCGCAGTCAGCGGCGGAGAGGAATGCTATCAATTCGCACACACGTAAATAGGTAATTTGGCATTTACGGGTCTCGGCGCGGCCAAGAGAAAGTCCACATCACAGGCTTCGGTGTCCCACAGGAAGAGCGTGGCCAGGTTGTCACCGATGCAACCATCACAGCACTCGGACTCCCAACTGGGAGGTTACCTTCCCATGTGCTCGGTCACTTCGTCGTATACAAGGTTGGTTGAAAAAAAAAAGAAAATAAGAATCGCAGAGAGTTCACTACTAGCTGTGCAGTCACTCTGATCAATACCGGCAAGCGTGAATTTCGTTAAGTTTTCTCCTTTCAACTGGCCTTCACTGACACCGAATCAAAGTCACTTAGTACTATAGTAAGTTGTTACTCAACTACTATATTATTGTTTGTGTTTTCCAGGATGACAAAGCAGGGAATAGGAGCATTGAAGTTGACCCTTAAGGCTTTAATAGAGGATGCGCTGACTGGAAAGGAAAGGGGAGACTAAGCTAGAGTGAAAGAATTAAATATTCAGACTCATCTCTAACACAATGTAGCACAATCAGAGTAACAGGCTTAGTAACACAGATTAATGAATTCTTGAGCTTCAGATGGGTACGGAAATCCTCCAGGAAATGAAAACGAATAATAAAAAAAAAATAGCAAGAGAAGAAGAAGAAACAAGACAGAAAAGTCAAAATATAAACTGGAAAAGAAAAAAAAAACACCAAACCAAAAAACAATCAAGAAAGAAAAAAAAGACAAAGAAAATTCTAATCAACAAAACGTAAAGCCCACATCAAAAAGAAACAAAATATATCAAAAGCGGCAGAAATAGAGAAAAGGAACACACAAGGAGTACGTCTAGTGACCTTCCCCCTCACGACTGGGTACGTCTGGTCTGATCTAAGGTTCCTCACGATCTGTCAGCGTCTGGACCGCGAGGACCGGGCAAGGGGAAGGATAAACAAACCATCACCTAGACAACGTGTGGCCAAAGGAAAAAGAGGAGGTGGGGGAAGGGAGAGGGGAAGGGAGAGGGAGAAGGAGGGGAGGTAGGAAAAGCTGTGATAAGACGATCGTGGGGAAATATGAAGTAAGGAGAAGGAGAAAAGGGTAAATTTTTTTAATGAGTTTTAAAGAGCTTTGCTGGTGGAATTCAGGTCAGTTTTTGGGGGAGGAAATGTTGAATTAAATTAATGTCGGAGTTGGAGGGAAAGAAGAAAAGGGAATAAAGGAGCGTTGATGTATTCGGAATTGGGAAAAAGGGAAAAAGGAAATGCAGAGTACAAATGAAACGCCATATTTTGCTGGGTAAGTTAATGCAAGATTTTTGGGAAAAAAGAATATAAAGAAAAGAACTTGGAAATATAGAGAAATATATGGATATTAACGTTGTTGTCATTGGATAAAATAATGCCCTCTTTACGAAGGCCAGAAATTAAATATGAAAGAAGGAAAACAGAAGAAAATGCTATGATCCTCACCATCATTTATTGTCTTATTTTCACTATCATTATCACCATCATTATCTTACTGATATTTTGTGTCAAGACTACTATCAATTTAAATACATCATTATCATCACCATCATTATCATTATCATCACCATAATCACTGTCATCATTATAAACATCATTATCAACCACCATCATAATCATCTCAACACCGTCATCATCACCATTATTATCATCATCATCATCGTTAATCATCATCATCATCACCATCATCATCATCATCACCATCATCATCACCATTATCATTATCATCATCATCATCATAATCATCATCACCATTACATCATCGTCATCTTCATTTCTATATTATTGATGTAAAAGTTTGGGTTTGTTTACATGAACCAGCAAAACTCTACGGTATTGGTTTGCCCGATTTCAGTTACCAACGTAGAATCGCTATGAATCTGATATATATAATCTGGTTTAATCAATAAAATAGAAGAAGCAAGTCAAGAGTTTTCGTTACATTAAACCTATATTGGAAGTAATATTGGCGATCTTATATTACCTCTGACCTAATCTTCTGTTGCCAAAGGACGTATCAATAAAGCTGATAAGAAATGTCACAAGAAAGAATAAATAATTGTTTTCTTCTCCTCTACCTCCTCCCTTCTCTCTCTCTCTCCCTTCTCTCTTTCTCTCCTCCTTTCCCCCTCTCCGCCACCCCTTCCCCCCCCCACACATAACCCTCCTAATCTCTCCCCCTCCCTCCTACTACCCGCCATCCAACCCCCCCCCTCTCCCCCACCCTCACCCCAATTCGGAGAATGCATGTCTGGTTGAAACTGGTTCT